CTTTCTTTATCATACAAATCATATTCACTCTTCCTCGTACACTCTTGAAAGCCTCATACACTCTTTGAATGAAAGCCTAACAAGAAAGCTTAATATGACTATATTTTTTAACACAAAAAGTGAAAGTGGAGTACTGAAGTAATAAAAGTTACGCCTTTATCGTTCTTCTCTTCTGTTTGAATGTATTACCATAGTGCTTGGTTATATCAGTATAATTTGTAGATTTTGGTTCTTCTTTGTTAGAATATATTACTATATTGCTTGGTTATATATGTAATTTGTAGATTTTGGTTTTTTTTGGTCTCTTCTGAAAATTAACTGATGGTTTATTTGGCCCGTTTTTATGTATATGGATATTCTCTCCAAATCATCTCTCTCCATCGTGTTACTCTATTTCTTTCTCATCTTCTTCTCTCTTACTTGTCCTAAATCTATTGTATATATTTTTTGCTTCATATTTTTCTCATCTATCTTAAGATCTCTCAGTATTTATTTCTCATTTTTTTCTCTCTTACTTCTCCTAAAATATATTCTATATGTTTTTGTTTCATGTTTTTATCATCTATCCTAAAGTTTCTCATACAACCTCTTTTTCTCTCCCTAACCCCCTTTCTCTATACTGGGCCCTCTCTGTGTTTGTAACAATATTTTTATTAATCTATTTTAATAACATATGGGTGGAAAAGGCTAAAAAAATGCTGGTTCCTTAGTAAACAAACATATGAATAAAGACTAGAAATACGTGCTTTGCACAGATTTATTTTGGTTATATAATGAAATATGTTATATAATGACCCTCATGCAAATAATAAGAGAGACGTAAAATCCATTATTATTTCCTAGGTTCAAATAAGAGAGACACGTGTCAAAAAAATTATTTTATTTACATGTTATAAAAATAAAGTTTAGAAATTTTAGGATAATATTAATTAGCTAAGCTTAATTTTGTATTTTTTAAAAAAGACTCATTAATGGGAACTCTTTTAGGGTAATAATCGGGGAAGAAGAGGAGATAACGCTATAGTTGAGTGAGAGAGAGAGAGAGATTACAAGAATATGAGAGAGAGAAAGAGAGAATAAAAATGAAAGAAAAAGAGGGGTACCAAACGGGCAGATGACCCTATAGTGCGCGAGAGAGAGAGTACAATAATTAAAGGGTTGGAAATGAGCGTACAATAATTAAAGGTCCGTAGACAAAGAGTACAATAATTCAATGGGACGTACAGCCCTGCCCGTTTTTTTGAAAGGGCGCACGGTTTGCCTCGAGAAGAGGCTCTAAACAATCTAAGTAGAGCGCACGTTAAAATAGGGCCGAGAAATTTAGTTTCAATGCTGGGAATCTTTGTGATAGCATTAAAATATATTTTTATTTTTAATTATAAAATATAAAAATTAAAAATAGTGTAGATTAAGTGGATTTATATAAATAATTTAAAATCTTGAAAAATGACAGTAAAAAATGCTTTTCAGGAAACATTATTTCCAAAACTTGAAATCTATTTTTTTCACATGTTTATGTATCTTGATGTCGAGATGATCAATTTGAGGATATTGAGCATAAAAACAACCTCTTAAAGTGGGTTCTAATTTGATTATTTAGAACCTCAGCTCCATATAAACATTTCCCTTTTTGAAATGGTAAGTAGGTTTTGAAGGTATTAGTGGGAATAGTGGGAAGGAAGCCCCAATGTGCAACTTGCAACTGCAACTGCAACTGAGGTATGGGGTGGTATGCTACCATTGCCTCCGTGACCCTCTTCTCAATAACTAAAAATTAGAGTGTGAAACGAGAGGAATTATTCCTAGAGCGAGTTGGAAAGGCCAAAAAATTGGTGCTCTCACGAGAGCATACAACCCATTTACTCCATTAGGTAAAACAAAATCTAAGAGTATATTCAAAACCCTTATTTTGGAGGCTTTAACTTCTTCAATTTAGCAACTAATGTTAAAGATGAAAATTTTCACTCTTCACTCTTTTGCATCATACTCTTCTTCATTGTTTTTTTATTTTTATTTTTTCATAAAACGCTCTTACTTCATATATTTAGGGTACGAAATAATGGTGACTTGAGATGGAAGCACTAAAGTCAATTGTTTTTTACTGTGACTTCACACACTTTTATGGTCTGCATGCAAGTTTTGTTGATACAAGGTTCGATCTTCAAGATCCAAACTTATTGCACCATGTATTGATTTTGGACCTGGATCGTTCGAAATCAATACTTTCTTAATTTTAAATCAAGTGACTTCTGATTTTGAAGTTCCAAAGTCATATGTGGTCCTGCTTTGGACTCAGAGGTTTTCAGGCCAAGACTTCGAGTCGATACCATGAACATTTAATATTCGAAGTTAAGAATTGTCTTACCATCCCCGACCTTGCCATTTTGGGAAAAATAGCTTTTAAAAGCATGCATGTAAAAAACAAAACAACTTATGGAAAATATTATAATTTTCAAACAAAACTTTAGAGGAACATGAGCGTAAATTTCTAAAAAAAAATCAATTTTTTGAAAAATAATCCCTACAAAACTCTTAAGTGTATCAAATAATTTAAAATAAATTAGGAAAAAATTCATATAGAGCATCAACCTTATACTATAAAAGTAAGCTGCACCTCAAAATTGAAAAATAATTCTTCGATGCTAGAAAATCCTTCAATTGATCATCTCGACCTTGAAATGACTAAATATATAAAAAAAAGGATTTAAAGTCCTAAAACCAGTGCATCTTGTAACCTATATATTTTTAGATTTTAAAGTGTCTGCAAATCATCTGATTTGCACCATCCTTGGAGTTTTGATTTTATAAATAAAGGTGGAAATAAACTTTTAGGCCATTGTAAAGATTTTTCGTACCAAAATTACATTTTCATATATGGTTTGGAGGCGCGCCTTACTTTGATTGTTTAAAGTGTACAAACTCCATTTCTTACTGTATTAATGTAACGTGCACTTCAAAAATCCTCTAGAAGAGAATGTTCCAACATTGGAAACTACTCGAATTCGATCGTCTTGACCTCAAGATGTATTATTTTCAAGAATTGAAATTCTTTTTTTTTTTTCATATATATACATCTTGTAGCATATTATTTGGACCATATATTTTTCGAGATTTTCAAGTGTTTATAGATATACTTGATTTATACTGTTTTTAAATTTTTAAATTTTATAAATAATAATAAAAATATATTTTCAAGCTATTGTAAAAGTTTTGACACCAAAACTACATCTCCAATCAAATTTGAAATGTGCTCCTTACTTCTATAATATAAAGAGCGCGCTTTAACAAACCCTATCCGAAATAGTCCTTCCTAATTAGGGCTTCCGTCAGAGGGAGTTAGTGGATAGCTTGCTCTTGTTGGTACACATGCATGTAGAAAAGGCCAAAACCATTGGGTAGTAAAGAGTGTCGCACAAATATTTTATACTCCTGCAGGAGTAGATTATCCATTTACTCCCTCGGTAGAACAGAATGGAATATTTTTAGGTTCTTAAAATTTGGGGTTGAAAGGTCTTTAACACATGTACTAACCTCAATAAAAATAATGGAAAATGGTGTGCCAGGATTGTAACCCTTCAAAATAAGTAAAGCCTTATCTTATAACTCATTGAAAATTGCAATTCAAGTATTAGAAAACTTTTACACTCATCATCTCGACTTGAAAATTATGGTTGTGAAAAAAAATTAAGATTTTAAGCTTTAAAAATAATGTATATTATAATACTCTATTTCACTTTAAAAGTAAGTGTTCATAGATCCGCAAGATCTCTACTTGAGTTTCGAATTTTATTGTTGTTGTGGGATATTGATTTTAGAGCCATCATGGAGATTTATGTTGCTGAAATGACTTTTTGGACAAGAATTTGAGGCGAGGCTTTATTTTGTTTTTATAAAGCATAAGCCTTACAAGAACTTCATCAAAAAAAAAAATCTTAATTAAACGCTCTATATACTAGAAATAAATAGTCTATTTAGATTGACCATCCATTTTGACAATTTATTTTTAATATAAGGAAGTCACTATCATTTTGAGATTGACCATCCATTTATTTTTAATACAAGGAAGTCACAATTATTTTTGTTTGTCAGATTTCAAATCTGAGTGGTTGTAAGTGTGTCATTGGCTAGACCCAAAGTTTAAAATAATTCTCAAACTTTGTGACATATCCCTAGCCATTCAATTTAATATCTATAACTAATAGTAATTGTGACATCAATGTAAATAAGATAAATAGTATCATAATATACAATCTCAAAACTTAAAATCAAATTTATTCTTTTAAAAATATTCATCTAGTAGTTTTAGGTGGTTTCCAAAATTTAAGACCGGAAAATTTATCCTAAGTAGGTCTTTTAACTAAGGGAGTATATACACAGTACTGCTCCCGCCAGAACACAATATACACGCAAATTCGTTAAGGCTACCTGGAGCGATAGATTCAAAAAGGAAAAGTAATCAAAGTAAATGAAATAATATAGAGCCCATCACAAAGAACAAATCAAAATCTAAGAATATGCAACCGTGGTTAAAGGGTGGGGTTTATATAAGGTATCAACTTTATATTATTGGAATAAGGTGCGTCTCAAATCTATTTAAAAAATGTAATTTTGATGCTGCAAAGCCTTGTGATGATATGACAAACTATCCTTACTCCTCTCCAATACAAAATTTTAAAAATCCAAAAATAGTGACGATCAAGCAATCTATACGCATTTAAAATTTTTGAAAATTGACGGTCTAGTAATATATTAGAAGACAAACTATTTTTATGATTAAAAATCTATTTTTTTTTATGTATATGAATCTTGAAGTCGAGATGATCGATTTGAGGGTGTTCTTCACCATAAAAATGACCTTCTTTAGTTGGATTTTTAGGTGTACTTTATTTGTACAGTATAAGGTTGACACCTTACACGAACTTTTGCCTCGTTTAAAATCGGGAAAAGGTGGCGAGAGGATAATTTACAGAGAGAAAACAGAGATAATTCTAGAGAGAGATGACAGGAGACAGTGGGGAAGAGCTCATAGCGAGGTGGCGGAGGTGGCGCAAAGGGAGACTTCCCGTGTCGGCGGAAACGATCCCACGTGCCTTCGCGGAACTCTCTCTCTCTACGAACACCACGCAATAAAAGGCCACCTTACGTCTGCTCTTGGTCCCATTACCCCCGCGAAAAAATGAAGACCATGGCCTTTGCTCCTTCGACCCTGCAACTCCAAACTCCTCTGAAGCTGAACCCTAATCCTTATTGTTTCTCTCTCCACGCCAAACCAACCCTTAGCTCTTCTCCTCTATCTCTCAACCCCATTAAAACCAAGACACTGGTGACTTGTGCCCTTGTTCATGGCGTTCCTGCCACCTTAACCCCGAACCAGTTAACCATTACCCATGAAAACGACAAAGAAACCTCTCTCTCTCCAATTAAGAGGGCTTCTTGTGAGTCTTTGCAGTACGAGAGCGGGTATATGGGCGCCATTACTGAGAAGACTCGCTCAAAGGAAGGGGAGGATATGCCCAATGCCATGACTTACTTGACCAATATATTGTCTTCTAGGGTTTATGATGTGGCAATTGAGACGCCATTGCAGTATGCCACGAAGCTTTCAGAGAGGGCGGGGGTTAAAATTTGGTTGAAGAGGGAGGATCTCCAACCTGTAAGTGCTTCTGATTTCGTTTGCTTTGTTCTCCCTCTCACTCTCTCTCTGTATATCTCTTGTGCTTTCCATGTTCTTTTCCTGTTACTTTTTATGGGGGGCGTATTTGTGCCAAAACGGGTCTCCCTCTCTCTCTCTCTCTCTCTCTCTCTCTCTCCAGTTACTCTTTGGTTTAGCATCGCTTTTAGTGGTTTAACTCATTGATTCGTATGTTACCATCATTGAATTGTTCTTAATAGTGTTTTGCTCTTTTTTCTTTTTAATAATTTGAGTCATTTGTTTAACTACTAAGCTACCTTGCTTTCTCCATGGAGCTGCTTTCCTGAGAGTTCATTGATCTGGTTGTTTGAAAATGAGGCCCGTATTATTGACCTCAGGTTCCTTGGAATTTCATTTTTATTTCCTCCTCCTTTCAGCGGGATTAATAGAACTTTAGCAGTTCTTATTTTTATGGATTTCGTTGGGAATCGATTTCTCTTGTTCATGTAGGAGTCATCAGAATGTGACATTTTATTTATTTATTTATTTATTTATTTTTGTTTTACTTCTGGCTTACTAAGCAAAGATTATATGAATTGGGCTATTTTGTCATATTATTTACTCTTTTTATTTATTTATATACTTTTACTGGTTTAAGTTGGGCTATTGCTCAATTTTGATGCCCTCTCTCTCTTTCACTCGTGAGAATCGTAGAATAGCAGTGACTGCTGGTTTTCTGTTAAATGAGGCACAATTGAGATTGGTTTTATACATGGTTTTGATGCAAAAAGGGAAGAATTTACCCAAATAAATGGATTGGTGGCGATGATATGCTTTTCTCTTTTTTTTGTTTTTTTAGATTGTTATACTTCTCTTTTTTTTTAAAAAAAATTGTTAACTGTTATGGCGATGATATGCTTATCAAGAATTTGTTTTATAAAGGTTTTCTCATTCAAATTGAGGGGAGCATACAATATGATGTCGAAACTGACGAGGGAGCAATTGGAAAAAGGAATTATCTGTTCATCGGCAGGAAACCATGCCCAAGGAGTTGCATTGTCTGCTCAGAAACTCAAGTGCACTGCAGTGATTGTTATGCCTGTTACAACACCTGAAATTAAGGTTTTTTTTCTTCTGGCTACTTCATTGCTTTCTTTGAATTTTCATGCCAAAATATGCTTATTCAAGTTGTCTTACACGCCTTTTTCTTGTCTTCCCTTATGAGTATATGTGTGCCCAGAGGGAGAGAGAGAGAGAGAGAGAGAGAGAGAGAGAGAGAGAGAGATCTGGATGCTCATATTTATTTTTTGATGGAGAGCTGTGTATGTTCAGTTACTTTTTTATTTTTTTGTGAGAGAAAGAGAAAGAGAGTTAGATTTGTTAATTCATTTGCTGTTTTTTTTTTGCTTTTGAGGTAGAAAGTTTTTTATTTGCTGACATTTTTCTTGCTTCTCAGTGGAAATCTGTTGAGAGGTTGGGTGCAACAGTTGTTCTTCATGGTGATTCCTATGATGATGCACAAACATATGCAAAGCAGAAGAGTAAGCAGGAAGGGATGGTGTTTATACCAGCATTTGACCATCCAGATGTTATTGTGGGGCAAGGAACAGTTGGCATGGAAATAATACGCCAACTGAAGGGTCCATTGCATGCAATTTTTGTACCAGTTGGTGGGGGTGGTCTGATAGCAGGAATCGCTGCTTATGTTAAGCGGGTTCGCCCAGAGGTTGGTTGATTCAAACCTATGCAATGAAATCAGGCCTTTTCTTTTCTTTTCTTTTCATCAGTAGATAGATGAGGCTAGCCTTGCATTTACTGGGGATTGGCTATCATCACATACAAGAGTTAATATTCTTTTTGAATAAAAAAAATGACACAAGATTTTGGCAAATGATAATCTGTACTCCTTAAGTAGCATATTGGCTCATGAATATGCTGATAATTGGAATATGACGGTCCAATGATCAAAAAGTCGTTCGCCTGACTGCCTAGGCGGCTTTCTCGTTCTTAAGGCGGTCACTATTGGGCACCAGAACTAGGCAGCCGCCTAGGCGGTCGGGTGGACAATTAGGCAGTTGAAAAGGCGCCCGCCTAGGCAGCATGCAGGAGTTTGGCCAAAAAAAATTTTGGGAGGGGAAAAAAAGGCCCTTTTACCCCTTTTAAGAGGGGATAAGGGTTTGGGCGGCCATTCTTACCCCCAAAAACAATTTTAGTGAACTTTAGAGTGAGAAACAACTTGAAAAAAACTAGATTTGAAGATTTTTTGAGAGATCAATTTTGTTTTCGAAATCCTCTAATGGTCACTATATTAAAGGATATTCAACCCTAATCTTTTTGAGGCTTATAGGGGTTATAAAAGGGGAGACTTGGGATCCCAAACATTTCGGTTTGGCCCGAAATTGAGCCCACTTCAAGAAGGTTGGTATATTTCAATAGTTTTCATTAGGTTTTGTATTTTTTCTCCTTAATGTCTAATGATGTTATTTTTTGCTATTTGTATTTTTCTTTGGTACTTTGTGATATATATTTGATATGCTATTGTCTATTTGGATTATTATTTTATTAGTCAGTTTAATAATTGCTCAATTCTTGATTGCTTATTAAATAATTGTATGTGTAATGTGTTTCTTCGATGTAGTTTGTGGCCTTTGTTGGTCGGATATAAGTTCATACGACTTTTTGCTAATGACTTTTCAAACTTTTGTGACTTGTGGGTGACTTGTGATTTGGGAGATTTAATTGACATCTCGAGTTCATTTTATCTTTTAATGTTGATTTCGAGTCATAATTATTTTATTTATAGTCTAAAAGTTGTAAATGTTTAAGTTGTAAATAATTAAACAGATAATTTTATATATAATAAAATGAAGGGAGGTGTGGGGGATCCAAATTTTTTTAAAAAATCACCAGCTGTTTTTGGGTCTAGGACACCCCCCCCCCCCCCCCACCTAGGCGGCCACCTCCAACTTATTGAACATTGTGACCATCCAACCTTGAGTAGTTTCGACTTTTGAACAGATCTTATTTATAGTTTTGGACTATTTGTGTATTGGCTAACATATTATTATGAGTTTTTTGTTTTGTTCATCTAATATTCTCTTATTAGCACGTAAAACATAAAAAACAATCTGTAGGGAACTTACTGGTCACCAAAATCTTCCCTTGCAAAAAAGTGTGTGTTTTGAAAGTATGAACATGCTATGACATTGTAATGTGTGAAGTTGATTTGTTTGTTTCTTTTTCAGGTGAAGATAATTGGAGTGGAGCCTGTGGATGCAAACACTCTGGCAATGTCATTATATCATGGGCAGAGAGTCTTGTTGGATCATGTAGGTGGCTTTGCAGATGGTGTAGCTGTAAAATTAATAGGAGAAGAGACTTTCCGTGTGTGCAGGGATTTGGTGGATGGGGTGGTTCTTGTCGGCCGTGATGCCATTTGTGCATCGATAAAGGTGAGTTTATATCTAATGAGTTGCTTGTGTCTGATGTTTGATAACTCAGTAGTTTACACATAATTTGAGGCCCTTAGTTTAAGTAAGTCTAGTTTAGTTTGGTTTCTCATTTTTTAAAAATGAAATATTCGACGAAGAGGTTATCCTGGCTTGTGGCGTTGCTTCAATACATCAGGAGCTGTTCAGTTAGTGGGCTCCAATCTCAATGAATTTTATACCTCTTCTATGAGATGATCTTCATATTAAGTTGTCAAGTTAATCTTTACTTGGCCTCATGGGAGCATCTTCTGTGCTAGATATTACAAAAACAATTCAGGATCATCGATAATCTGTCCTCCCATCCCCCCAACAAATTTAAACACAACTATGGTCAAAACAAAACTTCTGTCCTCCCATCCCCAACAAATTTAGGCACAAATATGGTCAAAACAAATCTCGAAATGACAATTTCAACCACTCTTGTTCTTTACACGTGTCATACATGTGTATAGGATAATAGGAGTATGACAGAGTGAGGGAGGACGGCAGAGTGCGGCCTGTTAGGAGAGGCCGGGGCCTGTTTGGAGGGGCTGCTCTGTGCTTTGGAAAGCATATTGCAGTGATTTAGGACCTCCACCATATGTGAATTACGCTTCCACACATAATTAGCTTGTTTTGTTAATTGTACCTGTGTAAGAAATCCTTGCATTTGCATGACAGGACATGTTTGAAGAGAAGAGGAGCATATTAGAACCATCAGGTGCTCTTTCGCTTGCTGGAGCGGAGGCATATTGCAAGTACTATGGTTTGAAGGGTGAAACAGTGGTGGCAATAACCAGTGGGGCAAACATGAATTTTGATCGGCTGAGACTTGTAACTGAACTTGCTGATGTTGGTCGTAAACGAGAGGCTGTTTTAGCAACTTTTATGCCGGAGAAGCCCGGGAGCTTCAAAACGTTTGCTGAGATGGTCAAGCTTTAACGAAATTGTGTTGCTTCAGTCTCCCAAATTTTGGTAAACTTTATTCTTCTTAATAATGTATTTGCTTTTGCAGGTTGGTCCAATTAACATTACGGAGTTCAAATACAGATACGATGGTACTAAAGAAGAAGCTTTAGTTTTGTGTAGGTGGGTTCCGTTTTATTCTTTGCTGGTAGTCTACCATTAATGTTTCTTTTTATTCCCCTATCACTTACTGCAGCATATCGTTTGAAAAGTTAGTTTCAGAAATTTTTCATCATGATACCTTAAGACGTTTTTCAGGGTATCAAGTAAATGTCTGTTTTTTACTCTAATTGAGTACATTCGAGGATTTCATCCTATTTATAGACATTTTTCCTCTGTTTCTTTCCCGTGCACCTCTTTTCTTCTTTCTTCTTTCTTCCGCTTTCTTTTTCTTCTCTTGTAGAGAAAGTGGTATATAGACTCATCATTCAGAGGCTTGTGACTATTGACCGAATCATATTATAGCTCATTCATCTCTTGGTTTTATTAAACTTGTATGCCTTCTCAACAAATGTTTTACTTGTATTCGACTATCGGTTCATCATGCTCTCTCTCTCTCTCTCCCTCTTACACAGGCTTACACAAATCTGTTTTTCTCTTGTGCACAGTGTTGGTGTCCATACATCTAGTCAACTCAAAGCAATGGTGGAACGCTTGGGATCTTCTAACTTAAGGACTATAGATCTTACAAACAATGACTTGGCAAAGGATCATCTACGGCATCTTGTAATTTTCTTGCCTTCTCTGAATTGTCTTATTTTTATTTTTTCACATAAAGTGATAGTTTGGCACATGCCGTTTCTCTATCTGTGTACATCTTGTATGCCCTATTCTGGCTATACTATTTTTATGTATTCATATTTTCTCATGGAAAAAAGGACCAGTACAAAATGCCCCCTGTTTATGAGAGGTAAACGGGTAACTCAAGTAAAAAAATGTATTATAAATATTAAGAATGCCTCCGATATACAAGTTCACCTGTATATCTTATGATGTCACATATTATTCTTATCCCTTGAGAATGGGAAGTCACCCATTTACTTTGCAGAACGTTATAGAAATAGCAGAAGATCACAAGATGTGCTCATAAATAAACAAGTATATAACAATTTTTTTTTTTTTGAATCTAACAAGTATAATATAATACTATGGTATAGGATAACTTAGTGCCATTAGTGTGTCTGATATTAGATATCATGCACATGTCTATTTCCTGGTAACACCCCATATCATCAGCATCACGCCTACGCTCCCATATGAGGCGGGGTGGTTGCCTAAGAGCCCGGCCTATGTGGCCCTTCTAGGCTGCATTCCCTTAGATGGCAGATTGCGCCTTAGCCGATGTGGCCCTCCTATGCAGCTTGTCCCTAGGTAGGTGCATTACACCTCAGTTGAGGATCTCGCCTCAATTCAATATATGTATGTGTGGGCACGTGTGCGTGCAAGGCACCTGTTGTCATTCCCCAAGAATTTACAATACTGATATTCTTGAGATGTGACAGTCAAAATATATATACATCTTTTTTTAAGATAAATTTACAATGGCGAATTCTTACAAAGTAACAAAAGAAAGTTTAAACACAACTACAATATCTTCCAGAGTTGATTTTGACAAGCCCTCTAAATGAAACCGCAGCTATCCTGAAAAAAAGGTTTATCATAATTTGATGAGTTTGGCTATTCAGTAAGTGATCATTATAATCCTAAAAATAATCATGGTTGAAAGATATCAATATTTTCAAAAAGGAGATCTATTAACGGAAATGCATTAATAGTTTCATTTTAAAAAATGCATAATTAAGTATAATCCAAATAATTGAAATACATATAACATTTTAACGGCAATGCATAATTCAAAGGATTTCACAAATTACTCGACTGGCATCCCAAGTAGGTCACCTATATACCCCATCAGCATCCTGATGGGTCCATTTAATTTCTATCGACGTCTCAGATAGGTCCACTTAATCCTTGCAGGTCCACTTATACCTCACCGACGTACCGTATGAGTCCACTTAATCCCTACCTGCGTATCGGATGAGCCCACTTATACCTCAACGGCGAACCTAATGAGCCCACTTGCATACTTAAAAGTATTTTTAAAGCTCTTTAAACATTCAAAAGCAGCAATATCATGTACTCAATATTTCACTGAAATTACTAATATGAATTTCATTGACACCATTAATAACAATCACTTTCAATAACATTTCAAAAATAACCAGTCAAATATTTTGGGCTCAAATTTAGAAAGGTAGCAGTTCGTAAAGACATTCTAACATAATTAACAATCTAATATGTATAGAAAAACTCTTATAGAATTTAAGAATACAGAATTATCACAATTTATGGGATGTCAATTCGTAAATAAACATTTCACAGACAATGATATAATCAATAGCAAAAATATCAGTTTTCAAATAATAAGACAGTCATTTGCACATGAAATTTACAATGTCTAAATATTCAAAAACAGTAGAAAGAAATCTCACAATTTTACTAAAAGCAGAAATATCACATTTATTTTTAATAATTTTACAGTATTTAAATTTTTTTTATAATAGATAAAAAAATAAATAAATTTATTTTTAAGAATTTACATCATTTAAAATTTATAACATAGATAAAATATCACAATTTTATTAAAAAAATTAGTTTTCAAAATAATGTGGTCGCTTGCGTATAAAATTTATCACGCCTAAAATTCATGATAATAAGCGAAAGTAATTATTTCATTTCATTTTAAAAAAGAACAGATTCTTTTTGAAGATAATGAAGTCATTTACCTATAATATTTGAGTGTTTGAGTGGAACTTTCGGTAAAATTTGGCTAGAGAGAGAAAGAGTTCACTGCGTTTGGATTAGAGAGAGAAAGATCTCAGTGTGTTGGGAGAGCTTATACAAAAGTTTTCTAGGGTGGGAGTCCTCATCTCTCCTATTTAAGTTCTTAAGACACATTATTATATTATTTTATTAAGCTCCACCTCATACATGAGGTGTGACAATAATATTATACATGGAACATTTAAGGCCCATGTCAACTAAAGGACGTGGTATATGAAAGGAAAATGTCAACAAAAGTGGTGATGGTCCTTAAGGACCATAATACTTATATGGACCATCACACTATAAAGAATTATTTATTTGAAAGTTTAGGATTGATACATTCTTTCTCCCAAGTAATTTAGTCTTCTAAATTTGTGTACCTGATTACTGAAAAAGATAGGGATATTTTTCTCTGATATCGTCTTTTTGTTCTCAAGTTGACTCTTCTTTTGAATGGTACTGACATAATATACGAACCAAAGGAATCTTCTTGTTGCGCAACACTTGTACCCTTTTATCCAATATCAAAATTGGCTGCTCAATGAAGGATAGATCCTTCTTGATCGGTAAAAGTTCATATTTCAAGATATAGGATGGGTCGGGCTGATATTTTCGTAGTGATAATAAATGGAAGACATTATGGACGTTTGCCAATTCGGGTGGCAAGGCAAGGCTATAAGCGGCACCTCTTATTTTTTTCAGGATTTCAAATGGTCCGATGTAAAGTGGGTTTAACTTTTCTTTCTTGCCGAATCTCATAATGCCTTTTATTGGTGAGATCTTCAGGAAAACTCGATCATCTTCCTCAAATTCAAGATCTCTCCGTCGGTTATCGGCATAACTCTTTTGCCGACTCTGAGCTGTTCTGAGCCTTTCTCGAATTAATGCTATCTTATCTGTGGTTACCTGGACAATTTGTGGCCCCAAAAGCTTTCTTTCACCAACTTTGTCCCAACAGATAGGTGACCTGCATTTCCTTCCATACAGGGTTCATATGGTGCTATTTGAATACTGGCTTGGAAGTTGTTATTATAAGCAAACTCAATTAGGGATAAATGGTCATTCCACCTTCCTGTAAAGTCGGTGATACAGGCCTTCAGTATATCTTTCAAGGTTTGGATGGTCATCTCTGATTGTCCATCAGTTTGGGGGTGAAAGGCATACCTCAACGGCGAACCGGATGAGTCCACTTGCATACTTAAAATATTTTTAAATCTCTTTAAACATTTGAAAGCAGCAATATCATGTACTCAACATATCACTGAAATTATTAATATGAATTTCACTGAAACCATTAATAACAGTCACTTTCAATAACATTTCAAAAATAACCAGTCAAATATTTTGGGCTCAAATTTAGAAAGGTAGCAGTTCGTAAAGACATTAGAGCATAATTGCCAATCTAATATATATAGAAAAACTCTTATAGAAATTCAAGAATACGGAATTATCACAATTTATGGGATGTCAATTAGCAAATAAACATTTCACAGACAATGCTATATTGCAAAAATATCAGTTTTCAAATAATAAGGCAGTCATTTGCACATGAAATTTACAATATCTAAATATTCAAAAACAGTAGAAAGAAATCTCCCAATTTTACTAAAAGCAGAAATATCACATTTATTTCTAATAATTTTACAGTATCTAAAACTTTCTAACAATAGACAAGAAAAATAAATAAATTTATTTCTAAGAATTTACAGCATTTAAAATTTCTAACATAGATAAAATATCACAAATTTATTAAAAAGATTATTTTTCAAAATAATGAGGTCGCTTGCGCATGAAATTTATCGCGCTTAAAATTCATGATAATAAGCAGAAGTAATTATTTCATTTCATTTTTGAAAAGAAAGGATTATTTTTCAAGATGATGAAGTCACCTATAATATTTGAGTGTTTGAGTGGGACATTCGGTAAAATTTGGTTAGAGAGAGAAAGAGCTCACTGCGTTTCGATTAGAGAGAGAAAAATCTCAATGTGTTGGGAGAGCTTATACAAAAGTATTTTAGGGTGGGAGTCCTCACCTTTCTTATTTAAATTCTTTAGACATTATTATATTATTTTATTAAGCTCCACCTCATACATGAGGTGTGACAATAATATTATACATGAAACATTTAAGGCCCACGTAGTATATGAAAGGAAAATGTCAACAAAAGTGGTGATGGTCCCTAAAGACCATAATACTTATATGGACCATCACACTATAAAGAATTATTTATTTATTTTGAAAGTTTAGGATTGTTACACCTGTCTGGGCCATGCATCATGCATGGGTGACTATACCTTCTTGGCCTCCTTGGCAGGTTATCAACACTGCCTGTGATCAAACTCTTGCTACTTTTGCATGTAACGGTTAATTAGGTCAAATTCTATGAATTTGCTTGGTTGACGGGAAAGATTAAAATATTTGCAGGTCTGAAGTATGTTTTGTTTTCTCAGCAATTTTTTTATTTTTAAGTAACATGCATATGTATGTGACTTCTATGTGCATCCGTGCACTAGTATTAAATATTCTAGCTTGTACACTAAGTCCTCGTCAATCTTGGAACCCAGTCAAGGATTGAGCTCTGCTACATTCTGCAGCAGGCCAGCAGGGTCCTCAAATATTAGAGTAACCGAAGCAAGGAAGTATTGCTCAAGCGCTCCAAACTGCATTCCTGTTGGAATACTCTTGCATGGAGCCATAAATGAATGTTTTAACTCAGTATGCACATTAGAATAGCTATTACTTTCTCTCTCCGTCTCCTGTATTTCAGTATATCACTACAGTTCTTTAGCTTTTATGAATATTTCAGTATCTTTTGAATTTTGACACCCTTTGACCTTTCTTCTCTTAGATGGGTGGGCGATCAAATGTAAAAGATGAGCTACTATGCAGATTCACCTTCCCTGAGAGGCCGGGTGCACTGATGAAGTTCTTGAATGCTTTCAGTCCACGTTGGAACATCAGCTTATTTCATTATCGTGCACAGGTTGGAATGAGTAACCTTTTAATTACATATTTAGCAACCAAATTTCTTGTTCCTGCCATGTTGGAAGTATTGGTCAGGTAGTTCAGTAGTTTTATGCTAACCAACACGGAACAATGATGTACTGATAGATAGCATTAGTTGAATTGTTTTAATCGGTTAATCATCTGCTATTTTAACAGGTACATGAATTATTCCAGTTAAGCAAATAAATTAGTGAATAATACGATCTAAGCAATCAACAGCCTAATAAATAGGTTCTGGTGTATCATCGTATTACGAATTTGGCAGTTGGCCCCAATAAATAGGAATGAATCTAGCTAAGGCCTTCAGATTTTCATATATTACATATGCAACTACAATGTGAAATTACTCTTCTGCCTCCTCGTGGATAGCCCCTTACTCAGTTTTCTTATAATTTTACTGGTTTTGTGCTTTTCTTTATTTTCCTTAATTTTAGGATGTCTTCTTCGTATGTTGATTTGTATCCAAGGGGCTACAGTTTTTATGGTATGCTGTGTTCCCATTATTTTTTCCTTCTCTTTAAATTTTATTGACAGGGTGAAATGGGTGCAAGCGTATTGGTTGGTTTTCAAGTTGGGAAAGGGGAACTCAATGCTTTTAGGTGCAGTGCTGATGTGCTTGGGTATGAGTACTCGCTTGAGACTAACAATGAAGCATTCTGGCATTTACGTTATTTGATGAAGCGACTGGAAGCATGAGGGATGGCGGCCATTAGAATACTTGAACCACTAATTTTTGTGATGTATAATGAGTGAGTGATGTCACATGACCGTCGTGCTGTGGGGGTACATGGTTGTAGCTGAGGCATTGGGCCATATGATCTGTCATGCATTGCATGTAGAATATAAATATGTGTCAATAAATTCCAGGGGAAATAGATTAGCCTCAATGTTGAGAGGGGGTATAATATGTTGGATTGTAGGAAAACCATGATCAAATTAGGTCATCACTGTCCACTGAAGTGATGGACACTGATGGGGAGAGTGGCTCCATCAGACCAAGACAAGACTTAATGGGACAGCCGCCAATGACACTCTATGCATTCATTTGAAGCAGGTTCATTTATTTTATGGTCATGAAGGCTTCAAAGCCTTATAGTAATGATATAATCTTTTTTTTCCTGACTGTTCCACAATTTTTTTGCTGAAAGCAAGTTAAGCATGACTCAACTAACCCATTACCCCAATACTAGCTGCTTTGTACATGAGCACTATCAAAAGATAAAAGCATCAGAGAGAGAGAGAGAGAGTTGAGACTCGGAACTCGTAAATAAATGTGGAGAAATAAGAGTAACCTGAGCATGGAATTAAAAAAAAAAAAAAGTGAAACAAATGCAGCTACATTTAATTGCAGACAGGAGCTACTTCAATGCTATGTTTCTGGGCCTCTTTATTTTCAGAAAATTGAATCGGCATAACTGTGTAAAGTAAAGCATGATGGAATTCACATGTTCATATAAAGGTATGCTGACCGCTAGTGATTGCTGAAATCACTTAGAAAATGCACAAATTACGCAAAAGGGGATGCTCCATGACATGCCCAAGCAATGCAAGAGTCCATCATGGTCCAAATTTTCTGCTCCCTACTGCTCCCTTATAAGCTGAAATCCTCACTTATCTGCTCCCTTATAAGCTGAAATCTGTCCAATCAAGGATTGAAGAGGAAGGTATCTCCATTATGAGAACTTAAAGATGATGATGGACTCCAACTGCTATGCCCCATGTCAATGTTTATACATTCAGTGTTTTATTTCATTCGTTCTATCTGATAGACACAAGCAAGTTTCCTCTATGTATTGGAATTGTAGAGCACTATTAGTAAACTGGTTTTCTGTTAAAATTTCAAACAAGGAAACTATGTATTTAACATTGACATTGTTACACTTGGCACAGAACAAGGGCCACAATGCAAGAGTCATGTTAAATCATAATGTTGAGTTTAAACCAATGTCAAAGCTGATGTGACTTTGACATCTGTGAACAATGTATGTACTCGAAAGGACCGTACAACTTCAAGCCCTCTATTGCAACTGAGAGAGAGTATCAGCTGTTAAAACAGTTTAGTGGTTCTTGTCCAGGTATCCTAAAAACAAAAATAGGAAATGGAAGAAAATGTTTTTGTTATTGCCACCCACTTTTCTACAATCTTCAAGTGATGAAATGATTAAAAATAATGAAAAAAGGAAATTTGATTTGGATTTGTGGCTATCCTGTATTATTGCATTTCCTTATTCTTTCATGCTCAGCTCAGTGATGCCTGCTGCTCGCATCTTTTACAAATAGAATGGAAGTATGTTAACACAGAGCATATACATTTATGGACATACTGAAAGGGTATATACCCATTGCGGTGTCAATATGTGTACACTCATTTATGACTGAAGCCACAGTTTTGTATGTCTGTGAAACATTTTTCCTTCATAACATGGCTTCCTGCTTGACTAATACCAATTTCATGCCATTAAATAACACGTCTTTGATAAAATATCACTTTTATGCTTCCTAGGGATTGTACATTACCAAGCACCCAAGGCCTTGTATATCTACACTTCAGTCTTTGACTTATTCAAGGTTTCATTTTTATTTTTCTAGTGCACGTTCAAGGTTTCATTCTGTGAGGCAATATTTGGTCTAAGGGCATGCAGGATACTAATTTAGATATATATTGCATCACATCCTCTAATATTGTTCCCTCATCTAGTTACTTTTGAGGATTTGTTGTGAGCAAGTATATGACCTGACCGCTAGGTTACTTTGATAATTCACAAACGGATATTTGTTGTCTTCTCGATACGTTGTTGGTCAAACAATGTTGATTTGAATGGTACAAAGAACTTGCAGACATGTTTGCCTAGTGTTGAATTTTGGGATTCTGTTTGCTTTGTATAATTTCCTTTCCTTCCCTTTTTTCTTTTTTCTTTTTTTTTTTTTGGTTACTTTGCTTCTCTCTTTGGTTGTTTTGTTTGTAAGAGTAGTATATTTATTCAAAGGCATGCATGCAGGTCTTGTATATGCTGCGCAGAACACCTGAATATCTCGCTTATTAGTGCAATAAAGCTGCAGCTCACTGAAGTTATGGGATGCATGATGCCCAAGGCAATCTATCTATGGTCAATTGGGTCATCTCCCATCTATTGAAGTTATTGGACATTGATGGAGAGATTGTGGGACCCCCATGAACAAAGCATGGCCCAATGGTGGTCCATTGTTCAAATGAGGCAGGAGGTGACCAAGTTGAGATGACATCGGATAATCTTGCCTGAGGATATCACCTCTGCAACGTGGGTCGTTTCTTTGATAACCTATCTTCTGCCCAGTTCCCAACTTTTATCTAACTCTCATTTTGAAAACCTTTTAAGATGCCATCTCTGATCTTGACTGGTGGGCATCCATGGAAGTAGGGTTTCACTTTGGTAGAAGCTAGATAGGGGCACTTGTGTCCTTGTTCTAAGATCTGTTAGGAAGTAAACTGCTCATTTTAGGTGCGACTATCTAGCCAAATATCTTAGTTGACCTCAGTTATGCCTATATGAGATGTACTTCCCATTTTTTCTACGTTTTGAGAAGTGATGTGTTTCTGTTGTGGGCTTACTCCCGGATACAATTTTGTTAAGGCAGGGTCAAATAGCCTAATAAAGATCATACGATGTTTACTTTGGGTCCATGGCGTTGTCAACGGGGTGCTCTCTACATGTCTCACTTTGCACATTTTGTCGCAGCAGGTGATTTGATAATAACATGATATTCAAGAATTTATTGGCATTCCTTTGAGATGTGACTAGAGAAGATCTACAACCTTTGGTGCCATTCACGGTAGTCTATTTTTGACGTACTTTAATACGAAAGAGATGTAGATTATGGATTTACTCAGTTTGATCACAACCAGCATGGCTGACATTTGGGACTTGCTCCACCCAAAGTTGGTTTTTGTTCTTTCATAATCTGGTTTTTCTTTCTTAGAAAATTCAAATGGTTCAAAATGCAAGCCAACGTGGATTGAAACTTCTGAAATTTGCTAGACCTTTTTTGTTTATTTAATTAAATGGGAGGACAGTTATTAGTTGAATGTGATCCAAGCTCTTATCGAAATAGAATGCTGTTGGTATGTTGCTGCATTCTAGGTTTTGTTTTTATATTTACATTAAGTGTTTCATTCAATGTCCAAAGGTAAATCTTTACACCATGGTATATTGCTTGTACAAAAAAGAAGCATCCATTGAGGTAGCCTGATGAGATTCCAACGGTTGATGGCTATGTTTCTGTCATCTGGGAAAGGAGATCTTTCATTTGTTTTCTTATATGACCAGAGTTCTGTATCAGTGTTCAATTATCTTGCCCCTATTATTTTGGAAGTGAAATTTGTTACTAAAAATAGAAAAAGATTATCTCGTCCCTTGTATACTGATGTCTTGTTTGTCTATTGCCAGGGTGATATAGGGGCAAATGTATTGGTGGGTATTCAAGTTCCGAAGGGCGACATGGATGAGTTGAGGGATAAAGCTGATGTTCTTGGGTACGAGTACATGCTCGAGATGAATAATGAGGCTCTTCGTCTTTTGATGCAGTGAGAAATATGCACAACGCTTCGTCCATTAGCTCCGTCCATGTTGGACACGCACGATGTACTTTATCTAATGAGAAGAACAAATTAGGGAGGATTATATGGTCATGTTTTAATGCTTTTTGTTTCTTGTGCGAGCCTAGTTTTTTGTTTTCTTTGCGTGATGTCTTGGCTTTGTTGTTGTCAAATGAAAGTATGTGTATCTCTTTCAAATGGATTTTAATTATCCTACCAGGAATAAGTTCTAATGGAATTCAATCTCTCTCTCTCTCCATGGAGCGCAGCCTTCTTTTTCTCCATGGACGCAACCTTCTTTTGTGCTCCTATAGGGATTACATGGATTTAGTTGGTCCTTGTGTAATGATCCAAAAATATTGGTTATGTGTTTTCCAGATGGTCAAGGTAGGGACAATAATCCTTGTATTTATATATGAAAAAATTTGTATACGACTTCAACCTTATCATGTTGAAGTAAGGAGTATCTTAAATATTTATTGGAAGAGGTTGTTCCAGCCTGGCGAAGCCTCTAATCGATCATCTAGCGGATTGATATGCGATGTGTATAAATATGAAAAAAAGAAAAGATTTTAAGTTTTGAAAATAGTGCATCATGTGATATATTATTCGAACTGTCTATTTTTATGAATTGAATTTCAAGCATTTATAAATCTGGTCTGTAATTTGTCTTGGGCTTTAAATTTCTTAATTAGGGATAAAATTAGATTTTCAGGCTGTTCATGGGTTTCAGACACAAGAACTATATCTTTAGGCACTACTTAGATGGGCACGTTACTTTTAATTGTTCAAGGTTGGCACTTTTAACAAACTGCACTTTTTATATATGAGAAAAGTTTATATAGAGCCAAGGCTCTAAATAATCAAATTGGTGCCTACTTCAAAAAATTTCATTAGAAGAGGTTGTTTTGATGCCCAAATATCTTTAAATCGATCATTTCAACATCAATATGTATGGAGATGAAAAAAAAATGGATTTTAAGTTTTGAAAATATTACATTTTGTAATGTATTTTTGGATGTTAATTTTTAAGATTTTCAAGTTTTTATAGATCTGCTTGATGTACATTATTTTTTAAGCTTTAAATTTTATAATTAGAGATGAAAACGTATTTTAAAGTTATTATAAATATTTTAAATTTTATAATTAGAGATGAAAATATATTTTAAAGCTTTTGCAAAGATTTTCAATGTTGAATCTGCAATTCTTGACACTATTTAAATGTGGGCTCTACTTTGATTGTTTAGAGCCTCGGCTTTATGGAAACCACACTTTCTTTATATATTTCTACTTGCAGTGAGAGTAAGTTCTTGATTTTTAAATGGGAGGTTCTCTAGAACCCTACTTTAGACATTAATTGGTGCAGGTAATATTTGAAACCTTATATAAACCTTTTTTCCAAGTAAATGACTAGATCATAGGCATGCACATCGTTATAAAACATGTGAGAGAGAGAGAGAGAGAGGCACAGTGATCAGAACTGTAACATACTAGACATAAACACTTTTGATGAAAATTCAATCTTTGTTGATTAAAAAATTAATCTTTTCTAATTCATGATTTGCACCTTTCGATGGAATTTTTTAAAAAATAAATTGAAAAAAATTGTTGTGGTGATGAATAATTCAATCTCTCCTGGTAAGCACTTATTGGAAATTTTCCCAAAACTAAAACCACCCTTATTGTACTTTGACGAGACTCATAAACCATATAAAAAATACTCATGCAAAAGCCCTTAACTATTGATTTTTTTCAAACAAGCACATGGCAGAGAGGCTACTTATCCTCCTCCACCATGTGTTCCACAAAATAACTTCTACTTCAGGGGCTTTCTATATAGTCAACTTTTGTTATCCTTTCACTAAGAAATTTAAGCTTTAACTACCTTGATCTTCTATTTATATAAGGTTGCAACTTTAAAATGTAGAACAACATATATACTTCAAAAATCCATTGAAAAATATTTTTTTAATGTTGAAAAACCCTCTAATTGATCATCTCGACATCGAGATGTATGAATATAAAAAAAAAAAAAAGGATTTCGAGTCTCAGAAATAGTGCATTTTGTAACACATTATCAAGAGCATCTATTTTCAAGATTTGCATATGCTTATATATCTACTTGATTTTAACTATTTTTAGAGTTTAAAATTTTATAATTAGATATGAAATAGATTTTCAGACATTCTTACGAGAATTTTCAACACAAAAAATGCATGTTATGATAAAGTTTGGAGGTGCACCTTAATTAGATTGTTTGAGGTTGCAACCTTACAAAAACCGCACCCATTTATAAATTGTCTTTGGATGGGAGTATTTTTGTGAATCTTTTAAAGACCCTTAGTAAGTGACATATCTTTTTTAAAGTGCTGGAAAAGGACTGAAAAACATTCCCCTATAATTCATAAAGGAGGATCCTATATAAGTAAATTGAATATCATCTTTCCCCTCATTTAAATGTTAGAAATAAAGGAACCAAATGGAATAACAAACAAAATTGCTAAACTGCCCATGAAGTGACTAAATGCTGCCAAGTGAACAAAATGTATACATGCTCTCTCAGGTGGATCTTTGGCTAGATGTGTTGTTGGGACCTGTATTCATCACCTTAGAAGTTCACCGGAAAGTACCACCCTTAGATTGAGCACACACCATCCAATTTTTGGACAGTAAGATCTAATGTACAAGCCTTGCTTAAAAAGTCGAAGTCATGGTCAGACTTGTGAAGGCCCTAAAGCACCGTAGTCCAACTTAGGGGAGTTTGTCAAAAAAAAAAAAAAAGGAGCATATGCTTGTCAGAATCAATTCAAAGGGTTTTTAGAATTGACCCAGATGCCTAAGGCTCGATCCAGGTCAACTTAGGCAAGTATCGAGTGGGCTTGGCACGTTTTAGGCACTCTATATAAAACTCAAAATCATTTTTTTCTTTTTGTTGAATTACTCTTCTAGTTTTAAAGTGGATCCCATAAGTACCAAGACGAAACCTTTTACCCTCATGGGTCTATTACTCGAGGGAGCATACATACAGCTATCTCCCACGGGAGCTCATTAAACACATTTGTCCCAGCTAAGTTCGAAAACCTACGTATAAAGTAAAAATGAACTTTACAAATGCAAAACAAAGTCTCCTCTTTATCTAGAGGAAGAATACAGATCTGTGAAAAATGGTCGAAAATAAAGAAAACCTGAGCAACAGTGAAGCTCAGGTACGAACTCCTCCCACCTTGCTCCTGCTGAATTGCTTTGAGATATTTAAATTTGCTCTTCGATGCGTATTTTGACCGGGTTCGCTGCAATTCAACTGTGTTTATTTTCGGATTCCTAGTGTGGTTTTCTTTTATATATAATTTTCCGTACTTCCATGGCATCTGGTTAACCAACCTCTGCAAATCCATTTCTTGTTATTTCGAACGGATTTTTACTAAATGTAGGATGATAATCTATAGAGCTATACTCATTTTCAAGCTAAATTCTACCAGATCACATATGAAATTGCTTCTTCTTGTGAAAAGAAAAAGTTCTTGTAAATCATAGGAAATGCATATATTACTTTGTGGAGTTGGTCGATAAGATCTTGAGCTCTCTTAACCTAGCTCTATAGATTTCATGAAAATTGGAGCACATATTATGTGCTTTAGGGCTTCACGGTGGCCAAATCTACGTCAGTATTCTGAAATCTGATATGGAATCTAAAGAGCCACTGATTCTCTTTGGTCCTGTGAAATAGAGCTAGGGTTTGGATGGAAATTAGAGGAATAGATGGAGATTTAGGATTTGAGTCTTGGGTTATCGTCGCTTTGGGGAACTTAGTAAATTTCAATTGGCCAAGATTTATGTCTTCTTTAAAGTTGCCGAATTATAGTGAGACTGCAGATACTCGACAAAGTCACTGTATGAACTCCATCTAAGATGGTTGTCAAATTCAATTGCTCAACCATTTTCTTCTGGTACTTATTTTTGCATACCATTGCTTTCACAGTCTTTATCTTGAATCCTTGTATTTTCTTTGCGAATTTCCCTTTAATCATCTGTGCTGTTGAACGTCATAACACATTTCCTTTGGTGTGAAGTTCTTCTCTTTTTTCTAGTTGTCTTATATTTTCCCAATGGGCGATCATGTGTGTGTGTGTGGAGAAATCCAACTATCTGATCATAAACGGACGGTTGGGAGTGAGCTAACAATTATATGACACATAATGACTTGACAAATATGGCTGGGGCCAGCCTATGACATTGTTTTGGGCTCACTCCCAGCCATCTAATTGTGGGCCTCCATACACATAAATTATTTGAGTGTGGATGCATGTAGAACCATTTCTCTTTCCTAACATTACTATTTGCTTAGTTTTGAAATGCTCATGGTGATTAAATGGTTTTCTTGGTTTCATTTACTTGTGTTTTGCGGGACCTTTTTTCTTTGTTGCATTTGTCATGGTTGGTGTATCTGTCATGATTTGTGCATCCATCTTCACATTTTGGTTGGTTTGTGCAAATCCTCCATTTCCTTCATTTTTCTATGTTATTCCTCTATATAGTGGTATAGCTGCATTTGCTTTCGCTATGCTCTAATTTGAACTCATCTCTCTCTCTCTCTCTCTCTCTCTCTCTCTCTCACACACACACACACACACACACACACACACACTACTAGTAGTAGTAGTAGTTAGTACGTTAACGTAATAACGTAAGTAACGTAAGTAACGTACGTAACGTACAACGTACTACGTAACGTAGTAACGTAAC